TCGCAGGCCTAAAGTATGAATACCATGGATGGAATTTAGGAATAACATGGATTGATGCAAGACTTATAGCCCATGGTACCAATATTAATCCTGAATGGTTCTGTGGCATAACATACTAGCTTTCAACTTTGTCGTTTCTGAAATGCCGGAAACTTGAAGCATGGATAACGCACAACAGGCGCATGAAGATGATCACAAAGAGGTCAAAAAGAATCCGCTCCTCGACTTGCAGTGTGAGACTCAGTTGTGTAACCTAGGCAAAGTATCTGAATGAGTTTTCTTTTTATGATTATTTCTTATAGTTTTACATACTATCACCTGCAAGTGAAAATTGTAAACATGTCACGTGTTGACCTTGGTAGCATTATTATTGTTGCAGATCTAGACAGTGGGTGGCCTCATACTACTTACAGTAGTTTGCGTTTTAGCTCAACGAAAAACAACAATACAAAGCTCTATCATTTAGCTCGCAACTTATGCTTGGTAGTGACTTGAGGAAATTAGAGAGGTCTTGGCAAGGTCGTTACTAAAAGCATAACAAGACTCATCCCCAAGTTATCATACAAAACAGAAGAGCTAATTTCTGAAGTTAAGACCAATATCAGGGCTGGCCAATCCAACAATGTGTTCAACACGAATTGAAACTATGCCCATTTGGGAAGAACTTTCTGTAGTTTTAAAAGTTGATGCCAAATTGCCCCTTTTTTATTAATCATCCTCTTTTCAACTCGAAATATATTTTTTCGTCTCCTTTTTTTGAACAAACTTCCGATAAATTGCCAACATGTTTGTATCATTTTCTGTGCTGAAACCTCTATGAGCTTTCCTTCTTATCAGTGTGTGAATATGTTTCAGGTATAATGCAAGACGTTAAGGTGACACAACTTCGAGCCATCCGCCGGCGCCGTTGGAAAGGCTCGATTACAAAAAGAGACAAAGGATGCAGAAGGACAAGATATAGAAGCCATTCTTTGATGAATGCCACAACCAAACTTCACGTACTGCATGAAGTTTCCCACATGAGGGTATATTGCAGAAACGCATTTTATAAAGAGGAATTTTTGGCTTGGCATGGAAACTTAGTCATGGAACAATCTTGGTCTACGTAAAGACAAGCAAAAAGATTGGCTCCCCCTCTCTAGGAATATAGAATCAGATTTAAGAATTGTAATGTTTGTGAAACCGTCTATACCTGTTTTTGTACTTTGAACCTTTGGATAAGTGTTGAATCCAATGGATAACACTCTGTTTTGTATTAATTATTTGAACTGAGATCTTTGAACCTCTGCTTAGCCATTTTAAGTCATGAGTTGTGCGTCTTTCCATTGGCCTTGATTTGAAACTTCCAGCTTGAACATGAATATGTATCGTCTTGAAAATTAGTTATTTAGGCATATAACTCCCAAATGAATCCAACAAACTTGCTTGTAGTAAACTTGCAAATAGATGTTGTCTTCAAAATGGATTTGGAGTTTATGACTTTAGGAAATGAACTACTCGTATCTTGCATAAATTCTAACCACAACCTTAAATTAGTTTGTGTCATAATCTGATCGGTTGTGACGCGAGCTCTTGGAAATCCTATTTGCATATGACTTAAAATCATTCATTCGTCCTTGAATCAACTAAATCTTGGATTGAACAAATTAAAATATGACCAAATCATCTTAGCATCATGTTGGAGTGCAACTTGAACCCATCTTGATATATGGCTTAAAACTAATAAAACCAATCGATTAGCCCTTAAAAATAAACCAGTCATATAACTTGGACCGTCAATCTTATCTTGAGATTTGATCATGGAAAAGATGAAATATTTTTCCCTTCTTGACACCTTTATTTTGGCAAGAACTTATAATCACCACGAGCATAAACGAGGCCTTCATAATCCAAATCTTAAAATAAAAATAATAATAAATAAATAAAAAACATGATCAGAAACCCAAATGACTATCTATAATATTCATGAATTGACACAAATACTTAGTGAAAGAGAATGAGAGGGTAGGAAAATTTTGGGGTATGACATTTCGGCCTTGTTCTTCTTGGCAACCAGGGAGATGTTGTCCTTGCGGGGAGGAGTGCGTTTGCGCCTCAGGGGTTGTGGCCTCTCCAACTGTGGTCGGTGTCCTAGTTGTTGTGGTGACAGACTGCGAGTTTTATATCATTGGTGTCTCCACGGGGAAGAGTGCATACGACGGTCTCTTTCTAATGTCTGGTCCTCTTGTTCTGTTGATAGATCAGCACGTTGGTCTGGTTGAGGGTCGCGACCAAGGTTGCCATGGTCGGGTCGATGCTGGTCGACACTAGGATTGGCTGGAACTTCTCTGGCGCCTTCTCCAAAATCTTTTGGACTTTCTAGGCTTCAATGTATTGGATGTCATTGTCGGCCGCCTCGTCGGAGAAAGGGGAGGTGGTGCGTCCGTCTCTCTTCGGAGGTGCGATGTCTTTCAGAATTGGCATGTCGTTGTCGATGTCATGGAAGGGAGTGAAGGCGATTTCGTGACCGTTGTTGTCGATCGGCCATGATTAGTAGTTTTTAGAATTTTGCTTTGGTCTTTAGGTTTCAGAGAAAGAAAAGACGGAGGAGCAAAGGGTTCCCACAGACAGCACCACTGATCTTGCCGGGATTAGAAGAATCTTCAGTGGCCAACAACATACGTGGTCTTCAACTTCAGGTGAGGAAAATTGGGGGTGTACCTACAAGGCACTTTGATGCTAAAGTAAGTACAGAGTGAAGAAAAGCAAGTACAGAAGTGAGAAATGGAATTGAATTGAATATCTGACCCTTTATTAGAAGAGAGTATTTATAGAGGTGGAAGACGTGTTCGATACGAAGGTCATAATGTTTTCGCGACATACGCGGGATTAGCCGACCACGTGTCCACGGGTGAAGAGCACGCGGGAAATGTACTCTCCAACGGCTACCACGGATTGAACTTTTCTGTTGGGCCTCCGTCGACGTGGAGCTGGATTGGGTTGTACCTGACGCTGGGCCAGGCCCAGTTCAGAACACTAGTTTTAGAATAATTTAGTCTTTTTTAATGTTATTCCTCTCTCTTTCATGCATTACCAAAACCTTATACATATCACCAATGATGTAAGATCATGTTTAAAACCTAGTAAGCTTGATTCATGCAGCAGATCAAGGCAATAATTTCTTTCTCTATAGGCCCTATTTTGAAGTGAGCCGCCTCTAGTTCCTATTTCAAGGAAGTACTTAAGAAACCCAAGACCTTTAATCTTGAAGTTATAATATAAGGATCATTTAATCTCAGTCAAGAATGTACCAACCAATATTATATCATCAACATTTATAAATAGAGCAGTGAAGTTATGATTAGTTTGCACGATGATGAGAGAATAGTCTGAAAATGATTGTTTGTAACCTTGTTGAAGTAATAAACGAAGTCAATTTATCATACCAAATTATTTGAGGTCATATAGACTTTTAACCAACACTAATAAAATTATATGAGAAGACTTAATTGTTTCATTAGACACCTCGCGAAATTCCAAAAATACCTCAAATATTTAGTTATATGACTCAAAACAAATTATATATATATATATATATATATATATATATATATATATATATGAAAATTGGGGTTATAAAATATAAGAATAAGAGAATAAATGATGGATGTGGGGTATAATTTTTCACATTTTGTAATTGAATCGTTATCAAAATCATTACTCTCAATTACAAAATTAGTGGCTACAAAATTAGATGTGTAAGTAGCCCATATTTCTTATAGAAAATCTCCCTAGTGTGATTCTCTTTGCTACAAAAGGTGGAAGAGTTAGATTTTCTACACGAGGCTTCAAACCTTAAGTGGAAGATAGATTTTCCAAATCTTGTGCTAGCTTTCTTGAAAACAACAGCATTGACCAAAATCTTAGCCTCGTCAAAGGGAGCAAATTTACCTTGGTGTTTATGTTGAATAACTAAAGAAAAAAAAGTTGTATAATAGAGGATCCGTGAGAACACTTGAGATTTGAAAATTGTAGTTATTATTGAAAAAAGTGAGAAAAATGGTGTAAAGAATGTTGTGATTCCTACTAGCACTTTCTATGGCTTCAAAAATAACACTTGACTTGTTATCATCTTTTGCATTCTTAAACAATTTTTATATTACACGCTTCCATGAGTGAAGAGATTGAAAAGAAAATAAGAAACTTATTTTAGGGTGGTCATAAGGCAACTAACACGCGCGGAATTCATTGGTTCTAGTTTGAGAAACTATCTTTGCATAAAATATAGTAACATATTTTGTGGTATATCCGCAATCTTCAAGCTTTCACTCTACTTAAAAAGATGTCTGGTGTGTGCACAATTTGCAGCTTGATGGAGTGACGTTAAGATGTCTCGGTTTGGTAAGTGCTAGTATATCTAATTGTTGATATTTGTTCTCTTAATTAGAATAACTCTAATCTGAATTTATTGGGAAACAAGTCAATGGAGTAGGCCATGTTCTATCAACAACGGCCAAACCTTTGTTAAAAAGTTGTAAACAATAATAGTCATGTGTTGGACTAAAAAATTTGCAACGTTCAACTTTAAACATGCATTCAATTATCAAAATCAAATGAATTTAACAATTTTATTTTATTTAAATTAATTTTAATAGATGCTCAGTCACCATCTATTATGGTGTTCAAATATAAGATTCAATAATCATTGATTAAATATAAATACTTTGCTAATGATATGATCCATAAGATAGCAGAGTTATCACGGCCTAACTTTCGTTATAATAATGAACCTGGGGAATCAAATAAAGATAAAACTTCCGTTCTTTGCCTTATTGCATAAATAGTGCATACATCCTTGGAAGATCGATGTGAAAATCGAGTAGAGGAAATCACCTCAATTTGAGAGATGCATGCATGTGTAAGATCTACCAGTAGAGACATAAACAATTGTTTTTGGCTAAAAATACGCCATAACAGTTTAAAAGACAGCTTTGTAGTTTTCCTTACCAACTATTGGCACTTTAAGCAGCTAAGCTTTTTGAAGCAATTTCAAACACATTCTCTGATAGGCCATTTGTAGACATGATCTTCTCCAACTGGGCCTGTAACAACAACACAACACAATTATTTTTAAAAATCACGACAGCCCGAGGTAAGATTGTTATCATGCGAAATAGTAAAGTAATTTAAAAAATAACAGCTAATGTGGCAAAAAATAATAACCGTTACCTTTGCAAGTTTTTGTCTGGTCTCATCATAACGCTTCCATCTTGAGAAGGCTGACACCATTCTTGAGGCAACCTACATTAGACAAAATCACATCCAAAAATATTATGAAAGATGCAAAATTCAAGAACGGTGTTTTGAAGAAACAAAGTTCAGTTATTTCCACCCATTGGTTTCATTCAATTTCCTTTTTTAAAATATTTGTATAGGCATCAGCCAAAACAATTTAGTTATTTTCACAGATACAGGTACAAATTTTTTAAAACAGAATACAGAATGAAAACAAAACAAAACAAAACAACAAAAAAAAAAAACAACTTTAAGTATAGGAGCAAACATGTCTAAGTTTTGAAGAAGCAGTGTTTGATTATTTCCATCTTTGACAGGAATCACAGTGGGTATGGTATGAATTGAAAGGAATCAATCAAATATTCATGAGGATGAGTATTTTACTTGAAAATTAACTTGTTTAAAAGAATGAGCAATAAGGATTGAAGCCTAAAATGTTGGTAATAGAAGCTCTAATACTATTTCATGAACCAATCATCTCAAAAAACCTCAAGTCATTAGGCAAAAGCACATAATGGTTTTTTTATCTACCATGTGCGTCAAAGAATCCATAAGATAAAGATAGGTAATATGAAGAGACCTGAGGATTTATTTTGTCAAGTTGCAGCACAATATCTCCCAAAAACTCATAGCCAGACCCATCCTTTGCATGGAAATTCACAGGGGACCCGCAGAAACCGCCTATGAGAGAGTACACTTTGTTGGGATTGCGAAAGTCAAATGCTGGGTGCTTTAACAGTTTCCGCACATTCTCAACATTACCAGGAATGTCAGACACGGCTTGAAGAGCAAACCATTTGTTCACGACCTGGAAAAGAAGGTCAAGTATAAATTAGCAATCTAAAATACTTCACTATGTAATAGCAGAAAATACTTCACTGTGTAATAGCAGAAAGCCAAATGCTTTTACAATTAAAAAATGAGCTGTTCATATAGATGAGACAGGTACAACAAGAGATTGCATTGGCAGTCAGCCAGCCAAAACATAACCGAACATTTTGAAAAGCTAGGTTAGATGTCAAAAGGACGGCGTTCATCCTAGATAATGCATCAAAAAGAAGGAGAGTTTCTCTTCATATTCATAGTAATGTGTAAGAAGGAAGGTGCCTGGGTGCTCGCTCATTATGGACAACGGTTTATGGTTTACAATATAAATATGTTGTCAAAGACTAGAAAAAAACATGCCCAACAACCACCACCATGAAATTGGCTAAATATATCAAACTGTCGCATTTCTAACATCAAATCAATACTAGTATTTTTTTTTAAACGTTAAAGAGATAGAGATTTACCAAGTAATCATTCTGCCACTTGTCATAAAAGTCAGCAAGAACATCATCACGATTTTTACCAGGGTTCTGGGCTATGGAAGCCAATGCTGCAAACTGTTCAGTCATATTTGTAGCAGTTGTGTATTCTTGAAGTGCAAGGTCAGTGAATTCTTGATCCTCAAGGGATGCAAGATAAGCTGCCAATCAAACAAAAACAAAATTAGAGAGATGACTTGCTAACAACATGAATGAAAATTTATCTTATATATAAAATAGTTACAATAAAAATATAAAATATATCAGTTTATTATTAGGATTGCAATCATAGATAAGGACTTGAATTAGCAAGGTATATCAATTAGAATGTATGTATTTATTCTACAGGTTATGCATAGGTGAGTGGCAGATTTAGACACATTACAAATTCTACAAAAATAAAACTTATACCAAGAGCAACATTCTTCAAAGCTCGTCTGGACATGTTTGAATGATCAAACACATATTCTTCTGAGCTCTTATTATTTTCTACCTGCAAAAAGGTAAACAATCATATGCATTAAGGAATAAGTAAGAGATTCATTTGAGGAAAACTAAAAGGTATTTCTTTTAATAACTCCAGGCAGCTTCAGATTTTAAAAAATACATACAGTGCTAAGGAACTCCGATTTCAGTTCACTAGCAAGCTGCTTCCTGATGAAAGACCGAACAGTATGAACAGCGTCAGGGTCTGCAACTTCCATCAAGTCCATTATTTCTCCCTCACCAGGCAGAGTTATTGCCTTGGCCACAAATTCCTAGATAATAAAAGAACACAATGTTCAATCAATGCAATCATATGATATAAATCCCACAAGAAAAAACTGAAAAAGTAAAACAGGTTTCTAAGCATACTTTGTCCAGACTTGAGTCAGTTAGTATGCGCTTGAACCCACCAACAAAATTGGAATTTAAAACCAACGGTTTGTTATTTTGGAAATCATCCACCAAGTTGAGCATCAATTTCCGTGCCAAAATTTGTCCAGCCTCCCATCTATGTCATTTAAACAAGGCAGAAAAAGAATTTCCATTATGCTATCAAATAAAAAAGAACAAAATGCTTCTGTAAAAAAATAAAGAACAAAAATGCAACTTTGTAGAACACAAACCGGTTGAATTCATCAGAATCATTGGCTAATAGGAAAAACAGGTCGTCATCAGTAAGATCAGATTGAAGACGAATAGGAGCACTGTATCCCCTTAACAAAGATGGAACAGGCCTCTCAAGGATATCAGTGAATACAAACTCTTCTTCTTTCTGCAGTAGATACAAATAAACTTGTCATTCAAACGAATGATGAAAAGTTCCACCCCTTATGAGCATCTTATATCATTTTGACAAAATAACTGTCATATTTGAGAATATTAGGAAGATAAAAAACATCACTCATTTCTTTCAGCAACTCTAACAAATGAAGGGACATGCAACATGGTTTTAAAATTTTCCGCTCATTTTTTTCACTTCAAATTATATTACATAAGGATGAGATGGTCATACTCATACTCTGTAATATGAAAAAGTTGATAGTTTTCCTTAGTTAAATATTGGTAATTATAATTATAATTCATAAACTTACTGCATGCAATGATGGACCAGAAATGAGAAAACATAGGAATTTGGAGAAAGGAGAAAAAACTAGTAAAAATTAGAATGAATGTATTATGAGAGAATTTTACAATTTGAGGAGGATGGCTGTTGTTTTTTGGAGTAATTGACTGATATGACTCGACAACAACAACAATCAAGATTTATCCCACTAGTGCGGGGTGGACTACATGGATCAAATTCACAACATAATATTCAACATGACTCTCTTTTGAAAAAATTTGTTAGCATGGAAACGGTTCGATAGCATATGTGAGAAATTTGGAAAAACTAATATAGTAAGAAAATTTTATTAACTTATAACTGTTGGACTTTCCACCTTAATTGCAGTCCGCCCCTAGCCGCCTTAATTGCGGCTCTTTGGCTTGCCTCATTACAGCCCCTAACACCTTCATTGTGTTAGCTTTGAAGGGGTGGATTTAGTCCCACATTGCTTAGAGATATGGCTTGTGTTGTGTTTATAAGTGGGGGTAATCCTCACCTTACAAGCCGATTTTGTAGGGATGAGTTAGGCCCAACCCAAATTCTGAGATGGTATCAGAGCCTATCCTAGATCATTGTTGGGCTTCCCGCATTGTCCACGCTTCGGGCTCATTGAGGCCCAAGCGTGAGGGATGTGTTGGACTTTCCGCCTTAATTGCAGTCCGCCCCTAGTCGCCTTAATTGCGGCTCTTTGACTTGCCTCATTGCAGCCCCTATAACACCTTCATTGTGTTAGATTTGAAGGGGTAGATTCAGTCCCACATTATTTAGAGATATGGCCTGTGTTGTGTTTATAAGTGAGGGTAATCCTCACCTTATAAGCCGGTTTTGTAGGGACGAGTTAGGCCCAACCCAAATTCTGAGAATAACATAGTAGAATTTTTATTTTATTTGGAAGGTTCATTAATGTCTCTACACGGAACACAAAGCTTCTGTTGTTGAAAAGTACAACCCTCATCTCCATATACATCCATAACAAAAAAGGAGGGGGTAGGGTCAATTCCTGTGGAGAAACAACGAAGGTATAGCCAGAATAGCAGAGCCTTTAGGATTTAAAAAAAAAACTAGTTAAAGATGAGAAGGCAGGACAGCCTGTCTGAACAGAACAAACTAAACCTAGATACTCGGAAATTTAAATATTAACCCATCAAAGAAAGGCAATATCAAGAACAATGCATATAAGGTTAACATCAAAGGAAGCCAAACATTTAAATACATATAAAAAAGCTGGGCCCTTGGTTGACATTAAAGGTATAATTAAGAGACCTGCTTAAAACATGAGTTAGAAATTCATATCAAAAGAAAAAGTTAATAACCACCTTAGTGACTCTAAGGACTGTAGTGGAGACTGATTGGTCATTGCTTGAAACGGATTGCAAAGCTCCATTATGATAAATAGAGGAAAGCGGAATGTCCTTGCCAGTTGAGTCAAGCAAACCTACTGCAATAGGAATTAATGTGGGTTCCTTAACTGACTGCCCTGGAGTTGGTGGTATCTCTTGACTGCAAATATGTCCCCGTCAAACATATTCACAGATAAATAATCAAAAATGTAGGTCAAAATTTAATTACTTATAACTCAATCAGGAAGAAATGAAAAGTTGAAGTCTCTATACCTAATCTTCAAGGAAAATGTATGTCCTTCTGCATTATAAGAAGTATTTACTTTAACAATAGGAGTCCCAGCCTGAGAGTACCTGTACATTAGCTGATCAGTCAGAGTATGAAACTAGCATTATGATGCTGGAAAAGAAAACCCAAAATACAAACCATGATAAGAAATTTGCAAAATCTGCATTGTTAGCATCCCGCATGGCAGCAAAAAAATCTTCACAAGTTACAGCTTGCCCATCATGTCTCTTAAAATATAGATCCATGCCCTGAAATACAGAGAATCTATGAGAGTTGAATTCTAAATTAAAGTACATCAGATTGGTAGCATCATGAGATTGCAAGTAAGAGAATTATCATAGTCATTGGATGGATAAACAAGCATTCTTACCTTTCTAAACCCTTGACTTCCCAATAAGGTTTTGTACATTCTAACAACTTCAGCCCCCTGATACATAGGATCATAAGAACAAACTGTCCAAGAAAACTAATGGACATGAAGGGATTGAAAATTTTAGAATGAAATATCACACCTTTTCATAGACCTGCAGCAAAAGAAAAAAAATGTGATTATGAACAATGGTATATCTTGATGAGAGAAACTGGACCAAACTGATCAAAATCTTAAGAGGGAGAAAACACATGAACATACCGTGACTGTATTTTGACATTGAAGACAGGGCCACATCAGAAATTAATCAAGGTTGTCAAGATATTAGATAAGTTAGCGATAACAGAATAATAAATCATCAAACAGGAGTGAAATTTTCAAATATGATATTGACTCAATCTGAAGTTCTAAAAATAAAGAAGCTTGCCTGTGTAGAAATTGTCCATCTGTCAAGAAAGAAAAATCTATATAAATACAAACTTACAAGGCGGTTAAGGGGGAGTTTTGGAGACAAATGGATGAGACTGAGAATGACAGTATCTAAATTCTAACCTTGATGTAAGAGTGTGGTCGCACTGGATGGGCCATGGGACCTGCATCCTGGAAAATGAATATAAAAGTATCAGAATTCTAATTAAAAAGAACAGTAAAAGATGAATAATAATGACAGTGCAAGTTAAAAATAACATTGGAACAGAAAATCCACCAATACAGAATTTGAACAAATGAATAATCAGAAATGGAAAATGAAAAGGATATGTAACCTGTGGAAACTGGTAGTTCCGAAGTTTTGAAACATCACCAATCCGCTTTACCGTACGACTTCCCATGTCAGATGAAAATTCCTGCCAATAATTGAGGCAGCTCATTATTATATTAAAATATTCATAGAAATGTAATGTTGGGGGAATCTTGGACAATGCAATAGCCTGATCCAGCAATATCGTGATGTCCCAATTGAAACATAGTAACTGAGTACAAGAGACGGTACCTGATCACGAAAAACAGTGAGACCTTCCTTCAGACTAAGCTGGAACCAGTCGCGACATGTTACTCTGATATTATTATAAAATAAAAATATTTCATTACGCGTGAAAATGGAAAGATATAAAAAAAAACAAATTACAAATGCACTGCATGAACTCAAATTCAAATGTCAAATATTTTCATGTGGAAAGTCAGGTTTGTGATATCTCAAATATAAATCATAAATAAAAGTGAGTAAGAAAAAAACATTATAAAATGATTTGAATGATAATAAGATTATATAAAACCCTTAGTTCAAAAGATAGCAAGATCATAAGAAAGTGCCACCTGTTGCCAGTCCAATTGTGGAAATACTGCATGATAGATGAGAAATAAGCTTTAGTTGCAATTAACAAATGCCAAGGAAGTTGAATTATTCAAAAATTAAAGATCCCCCACATTTGCTGTGATATGTAGTAGTTACAAACCTCATGGCCAATAACTCCCAATATTGCAGCATAATCTGCATCAGAAGCAGTCTCTGGAGAAGCCAGTACAAGCTTGGAATTGAAAATCTACAAATAAGTCAAGGGAAGCATAAATGTCAGAGTTAAGACAAACAACCCGCCAAAACAAGCTGACAAGGAGACGTACATTCAAGCTTTTGTTTTCCATGGCCCCCCTGATCATTACAAAAACAAGAAAACAATATTACTTTCTGCAACTTAATCTTGTCATGATATATCATCTGATCAAATGTACAAAGGTGCAATACATGTAAGGTTACATGACAGAAAAATCGCAAACAAAAAGGTAGACAGAAATTACATATTAAAATCTGGGACAGCAACAATGTTGAAGAGGTCCAGGTCATATTCAAGTCCAAAAACCTGTTTGCAAAGCATATGACATGACAGAAAAATTCTTCAGAATCTGAAACCGTATTTATGATCTAAAAGAAAAAAACAAATAATAACTGACATCTTCGTCCCACTTCATAGCTGCTTTCAGAGAATACATAGCATGAGCAGTCTTAGGCACGTCATCTGCAGGCGTCCAGATCCTAAGGGACACCTTCCTACCTGAGCGGGTAGTAAATGTGTCATCTCTGCTCTCCAGTTGCCCAGCAACCAAGGCAAACAGATAACAAGGCTTCTTGAAGGGGTCCTCCCAGACAGCATAATGTTTACCACCCTGCAGCAAAGCATAGTTAATGTCTATAAATAGTGAACTAACCACCAAGGAAGCCTGTGCAATGCAATAAAAAAATCACCTCCAAGTCACCCTGTCCAACCAGGTTTCCATTAGACAACAATACTGGATACAGTGATTTGTCTGCCTCAATGTGAACTGTATACTTTGCCATTATATCCGGCCGATCCTGTTAGATGATAGGTTATTAGGATACATTAATTTGATGTGGAAATTAATTTTAAAATGTAAAGATCTGATCATCATCATCATCATACTAACTCCACTAAGATGCCGACCTGATAAAACGTGATCTTACGGAAGCCTTCTGCCTCACATTGAGTACAGAAATTCCCAGATGACTTGTAAAGTCCCTGTAGGAAATCAAATTCATAGTAAGTAAGCATATCCTCCATCTCCTCTCTTCAAACTGAATTGGAGCAACTGAAGCAGAAAAGAAGCAGTATATACAAAGAAGACAACGTTCAAACGGGAGAATTTTATTTACCTCTAGTGATGTATTTTTCTGTGGGAGAATCTCATTAACGATTTCAAGATCATATTTACCACTAGGAGGTGACTGGATTGTTAGATGACGTGGATCCACATGATAATCTTCCTCCTGCGGATAAACATAAGATAATATATTTATCTTAAAAATAATTCTATGCAGCCCTCCAATCACCAGTGATTGCTATTCATATAGTGTTTCTGAAGTGAACAATGCCCAACATTTCAGCTAGAAGACAAAGAAATCAGGAAATAAAAAGTGAACATCCTAGCTTGATATACTAGCAAGATGGCAACAAAATTCCACCAGTGATTATGTTGGCAAAGCGGGTAGTGCCCAGCTCAAAATAATATGCATACCTTCAAGGCATTGCCATTAATCTTAATTGACACCAAAGTCATGTCTTGTCCATCCAAAACCAGCGGGGGAGCAGAACCTGTTTCATAACAAAGGGTGATTAATGCTGCATACATTTCTGCTGATCGGAAAAATTACAAGGACAATAATGGAACCATAAAATGTTTACCTTCAGTGCGAGGAAAAACAGCAATTCTAGAACTAACTATAGTCTTCTCCTCTCCCAATGAAAACTTCAGATCCACCTAGAATAGTTCCATGCAGCACAAGAAAAGAAATGAAAAAAATTTTAATTGGCAACAGTATGAATGAAACACAATCTAAAAACTCATAAACCTACAGTTTCAAAGTAGTAATCGGGCTTCTTGTAATCCTTCAAGAATATTTCTGTTGGTGCCGCCATTTTTGGCTCTTCAACTTGCTTGGCTAAATCCTCAGTAGCAACCGAACAAATTAACTTCCTACTAGCTTTCTTCACAGCCTGGTAAATAATACAAAGAACATAAATGACCAACTGATTAAACAAAGTCTAAATTAGGCTATCGCCATAAAGCAGAGTAGAATATCTTTGAACACACAGCTACATAAACAAGCAACATTGAAGTTCCAGCACAAAATATATAAACTTACCGATACAGAAGAATAAAACGAGCAACAATTCTTACGTAGAATAACCTGCAAATATCATTGTCATTATCATTTTCATGACTCAAATCAATCAATCAATTCAGTACAGTCATGAAACAAAAAAGTTAAGTTTTATTATAGAAATGAATAAAAAACCTCTGATGAAAGGAAATGCCTATATCTGACACTACTTTTCGAGATTTTCTGAAAATAACCAACGTTGCAATTAAACTGGAGCTGCAGAAATGAAGTAACCAATCATCAAATTCCACAATTCAAAAAGCAATAAAACTAGACATGACTTAAACAAGAGTTCTTAAGAAACTCGCAAAACACTTCATTTCATAGTTGTTTTGATGAAATAAAACAGAATCATGAAAATCAAAGAGTGAAGAAATGGATGCATGGACAAAACAATCACACACGGGAGCAGGTGAGATCAAACCCAGTAGACTCTTCCTTGAAAAAGCCAAAGTCTTCGATGGCAGAACCAAACGTGCCATTAGTCACGAAAACCCTAATTGGGACCTATGGATTTTCAGAAAAAACAAAGGAACTTTGAAAAACCCTAGATCAGTTAACGACAGAGAATTCTCAGTCTTATAAGTGGATTTTAGGATAAGTGGGGTAAAAATCGATTATGGACGTAAAAATTCAAGGGAAAATATTGGATAAACTTGATGCATTAATATTGTATGGGAAAAATAAATAAATAAAATTAAATAAAAATAATCAGTGATCGAATGGAGAAGAAATGTTAGAGCTTTACCAGGTTCGGCGATGAAGTGCGGCGAACGGAGAAAGTGACAGAAGAGATGGATGAAACAAGAATTAATATATAGAGATTAGATCATCGGGTCCATGAACATTTCTTTTCTTGATTTTAAGGGGTTTTTTTTTTGTATTAAAAGTTTTTTAATACAAACATATGTTAGAATTTTTTTTTGGATATGATATAAGTATATTTCTATTTTATTATTAAAATTATAGGAATTTTTTTCTATAATAATCATATTTAAAAAAAAAAAAATATATATATATATATATATATATATATATATATATATATATATATATATATATATATATATATATATATATATATATATCAAATTGTGTTTAAAACAAAACAAAAATGCACGGATAAAAAGTGTAATCAGACTCATTAGCACGCATAAAACTTTTATACATAGCAGTTACTCTTTATGCGTATGCGTACAACTTTTGTACACAGTAGTCACTGTATGTAACGCATGCTTACAACTTCTGCACACAACAGCCACTGCTTATGGCTACTGTGTTGTCTTGTTATACCAACTTTCGTACATAGTAGCCATTGTCTGTGGCGCATGTTTCTAAAGGATGCGTGCATGCAGTGACATGACTTATATGCATGCGTTGTGCATGTTGGTGCATGTGCACAAAAGATATATGCATGCGTTAATGGATCTAGCTACACCACTTGTCAGTGATTTTTTTGTTTGAAACAAGGTTACTTTGTTTTTTTAAAATATCGTTATTTTGGAATTTATTTTGAAAAAATGGTTATTTTTTATAAAAAAAAAACTCAAAATGCTATGTCGATTATAATTATTTTTCCGTTATGGAAAAGATGATATGTGAAAGGTTGAAGATGAATATGGTAAAAAAATTCATGCATTGAAATTTTCATAGAAAAAATAAGGTATGTGTAAGTCAGTGATTTTCACTTCCAATTCGGTATTTGGAAGAGATGGAACTATATAAGTATGTAATGTGTATCATACTTTAGTGTCATTAGTTATGCTTTTATAGGGGATATGGTTAGAATTGTACCATGTCGGCACAATGTGGATTATGGGAAACTGTTGGATGTAGATCAACGGTGGAGATGATGACGGAAGATGTACTTTTATGGGATGTCTTATAGTGAACGTACATTTATTTCTCATGTGGTGGGTGTTTTTTATTAGATTGGACCTTTGAATTGGATCAAATTTATTAGGTTTTTGCCTCAGCCCGGAACACTTGTCATCCACATCCTTGTTATCAATAATGGAATGAGGAATCTAAATGTTGGGATTTGTGAGGTTGGTCCAAGCATGAGTTTCGTTGAGAAGATGGATTTATCGAGAGGGTGTCCTTAAGAATGAGGGGAGGCTATGTTACAATGTTTAGTGGGAGTTGGTGGCATTGGGAACACGTGCATTTTGGTAGTTCATTTATTTCAAATATAATCGATCATTATCATTTTGTAGTTTAAATTTTTAATATATTATATGTTATATATTACTTCACACCTATTATTTTATAGTATTTTTATATCATTAATATAAATAAAATTTTATAATTTGTAATTTAGATATCAAAGAACTAGTTCAAATCAAACTGCATTTATCGGATCATATTTTTCTAACAAATCATACAAAATTGAACCATGAGTAATTTTATCTTTGGATATTGTTCTGGGTTGGGCCCAGACCTGCCCATCCGTCGGGCAGACCCAACCTAATACTATTCAGAGAAGGCCCAATAAGGCCTAAAGCCCCAGTGTCGGGCACGGCCCTAGACACGTCGGGCAGGCACCCTCCCTCCGTCGGGCAGAACCACACATTTTCCACACGTTCTCCACGTGCTCCCTCCGCGGGGACACGTCATTAACCAACTACCCACCTCCGAAAGAGCTGGTCATCCCACCTTCTGGAGATCACGGGACGGTTGAACTAGGGCGAAGACCACATGCTAGTCTTCACTACGTCACGTAAGCCTTAGCAGTCACCTGGGTTGGGCCTGGCAATCCAGCCCAACACAAGTGATCGTTGGCCATGCGCTGAGGTCTCTCTATAAATATCCTCTTTCACTAGAAGGTCAGATATTCAATTCTTTATCTCTTTTCTGTATTTTCTCTCACTCGGGTCCATTACTTACTTTGGCATCAGAGTGTCTTGCAGGTACACCCCATTCCTCCTCCTTACTTCCGGCGAACAGCCTTCAGATCGACGACGCATGGCAGGTCACTGATTCCCTTCTGACTTCAAATTCCAAGATCATGACAAGCCCACGTCATGATGACGTTGTCCAAACCTCCGACCTCGTCCCAATCACCAACGGCGACGACCAGGCGGGGACATCCCACACCCGTGAAGGTGAACTAGGGACGGTCAAACCGCCTCTCCCTCGTCCGAGGACTCAGCGCATCACACCGCACCTCGAGCAAGGAGCCTGACTGCCTTCCAGCCCGTTCCTACGCCGGCTGGAGCGGACCCAACGATGATTGCCCTCTTTGCAGCCATCAACCAAACAAACCTGATGTTGTTCCAACAGAATGAGCGCATCGGTGCACTGGAGCGGGATACCTCATCTCGCTCTCCCCCGCGGAGAAATCAACGCGGAGACTCCCAGATCCCCTCTCCCCGTCCACGGGGGCGCCGACCACAACTGGAGAGGCCCCAACCCGTGGCCTCCAAGAAACGCGTCAGGTCACCTCCCCAGAAGGAGAGGCGTTCCCCAGAGCCAAGAGCGAACAAACCTGAAGCCCCGCCCAGAAGACCGAGGGGACGTAATCAACCCCCTCGGCACAACCCGTCGCCTTCCTGCTCCCTTGTCCGCAGTGATGAAGACGACTATAGGACTCCCTTATCGCGCGAAATCATGGTGACCCCCCATCCCCAACGGGATGGAGAAACCGCCCGTACTCTCCATGTATGACGGTACCTTGGACCGGACGATCACCTAGAAGACATCGAGGCCATGATCAACTACAGGAACGTCCGGGGAGCCGTCAAGTGCAGGCTCTTCCCGACGATGTTGAGGAAAGGGGCCATGACTTGGTACAAAATCCTGGAGCTTGAGTCTGTCACGTCATGGAGGATCCTGAAGGATCTCTTTTCGCAGCATTTCACGGCATCGCGAAGACACCCAAAGACGGAGGCCTCCCTGGGTGCAATAATCCAAGCCCCAGATGAATCGCTCAGAAACTACATCGAGAGGTTCATGAGGGAAGTGGTCCAGGTGGCGACCTTGGACGACATGAAACGATGTCTTACGGAGCAAGGCCTACGCCACGGCTCCAAGTTCTACGAGGTTGTGGCGATCCATCGGCCAAACACATTGCAAGGCTTCCTCGAGAAAGCCCGCTGTTACATCCGGTACAAGGAAATCAAGGCCGTCAATGCTGCCCGAAAATCCTGCAACCGCGAAACGTCCCGCGGGTCCTGAGAATAGGGAGCACCAGCCCCCTGGCGTGGGGGAGACTGATGAAGAGACGGTCGTCCCCGAGAGTACCGGGAGCAGAGGGGCCCCGCTGGCCACTTCACCGAATACACTGCCCTAGTCACTTCTCGCGAGCACATACTAGTTGAGTGTGCCAACTCGAAGTTTATCCGGGGAGGTGTCTGTTTTCCTAAACCGGCACCCCCCAAGGCCAACGTAGATAAGTCCAAATAATGTCGCTTCCATCGGGGCCACGGGCACGTGACGGAGGATTGCATCCACCTGAAGGACGCAATTGAAATACTCATCAAGGATGGACACTTGAAGATATACACCAGGGGAGAAGATGCCCCCCGACAAGAGGCCCCAAAAGCTAAGAGAGTCGAGGACATCCCTCCCCCCGCCAACGAGTCCGGGCTACAGGTAGCCCTCTGTGTTGATCGACCCGAAGACTGGTTCTCACTGAGGGAATACAGCCTCCCTACCGGGCATGATCTACCCGAGGAACCAGTACGCCCCATCAGCCCGTGGGAATACTTTCCAAAAGCGACGGTCATTTCGAGCGGGACCCCAAGCAAGCTCTCGATCGGGTCGGTAAAAAGGAAGTTCGACGAGTTGATGAACAACAGCTCCGGCAAAATGAGCACGCTCGACAAATTCCACGGCTGATCCAACCCGATCACATACTATCTCGAAGAGCTCCCCGGGGGAGCCCCTAACTCAGCCATCCCCCTACTGATACGGGTACAAATGGCTAATTTCGATGTTCGCCGCATCCTGGTCGGCGGAGGAAGCTCGGTGGATATTATGTATACCCACCTCTTCTCGACGCTACAGCTCGACGAAACCAACCTAACTCCCTACCTTGGCTCCAACCTCTAGAGGTTTAACGGGACAAAGACAAGGTCACTAGGATACGTGAAGCTCAAGGTCACCTTTGGGGTACAAGAAACAGCTAGGGAAATCAACGTCCACTTCCTGGTCGTCGAGTGCCCGTCCTTGTACAACTGCATCCTAGGCAGGACAATGTTGGCCAAGCTCACTGCGGTACCATCAACCGTCCACCTAAAGATGAAGTACTATACCAGGCTGGGAGCTGTTGTCACCCTCAATGGGGACATAGAAGCAGCCAGTCGATGTTTTAAGGCAGGAATGATGAGCCTTAGCACGATCGGTCCCCCGACCAAAGCAACCAAGCCTCCACCCATCCAGAAGAACAGATCAAAGGACCACGTCGACGTTGTAGACCTCGATTGCCGCTTCCCTAGTGAGCCAGATCACGAGGACGAAGTCGAAGACACTCTTCCAATGG